CATTGGCATGGTCATGGACGTCGCCCGTACGTCCATGATGCATGCGGCTGCCCCCCATTTTCTGTGGCCGTTTGCGGTTCGGTACGCGGCGCATCAGATCAACCTTCACCCCAGGGTCTCCATGCCGGAGACCTCCCCAGCCTTGCTGTGGACGGGGAAGGTTGGCGATGCGTCTGCGTTCCGTGTCTGGGGATCTCGGGCGTTTGTCCGCGACTTGTCTGCGGACAAGCTGTCCCCTCGTGCTGCTCCTTGCGTCTTCCTTGGCTTCCCCCCTGACGCGCCAGGGTGGCAGTTCTACCACCCCACCTCTCGCCGTGTTCTGTCCTCCCAGGACGTCACGTTTGACGAGTCGGTCCCCTACTACCGCCTCTTCCCCTACCGCACTCCGTCCCTCCCCCCGCCACCCGCTCTTCCTTGTACCAGGTCCCCCCCCGGTAGACCCCCTCCCCCCTCAGGGTCCTGCCCCTTCAGGTGTGTCCCAGGTAGACGCAGTCGAGCCTGTCGAGGTTACGGGTGACTCTGGTGCTGCTGAGGGTGCTGAGCCTGGGGGTGCTGACTCTGGGGGTGCTGAGCGTGTGGGTGCTACGCCTGGGGGTGCTGAGCCTGAGGGTGCTACTACTGGGGGTCCTGAGCCTTGGGGTGCTGAGCCTGGGGGTGCTACTACTGGGGGTGCTGAGCCTGGGGGTGCTGAGCCTGGGGGTGCTACGCCTGGGGGTGCTGAGCCTGGGGGTGCCACGCCTGGAGGTGCTGAGCTTGGGGGTGCGGAGCCTGAGGGAGCTGGGCCTGCTCGTGTGGCGTCTGGCGGTGCTGAGCCTGGAGGGTCTCCGGGTGCTTCGTCTCGGCGGGAGCCACTCTCTCCACAGGAGCTGCGCGAGTGGTTTGCCCGGCGCTGGAGGCGTGCTGCTGGAGCTGGAGGTTCGTCGGCTGCTGAGGGTGCTGGTGCCGCGGGTCCCGGAGGTGCTCGTACTGGGAGTACTGGAGCTGCTGGGCCTGCGGGTACGACTGGAGCTGGAGCTGCTGAGGGTGTTGGCGCTGAGGCTACTGCTGTCGGTCTTGGAGGCGGTCCTGCTGGGGGTGCTACTGGTGCTGCTGGAGGTACTGGAGCCGGAGGTGCTGCTGGCGCTGGTGCTGCCGCTGGGGGTAATGGTGCTGTCCCTGCTGTGTCTGGAGTCGCCGCGCGGCCTAGGCCGTACTTCGTTCCGCTCCTTCAGCAGGTTCTTGGTCTCCCGCCTTCTACTGGTCCTCCTCCTCCCTTAGAGTGTCCACGGCCTGTCCCGTCACAGTTACAGTTACAGCCGGCCTCCCCACTGCCCGCTCCTTCTCCCTACACTGGTCCTACTGGAGGTCTTGCTGAGCGTCGTGAGCCTGCGTCTCGCCCTGCGTCGCCTGTCCGTGCTGCTCGCACTAGTGGTCGTGGTTCGCGTCAGCGTCCTCCTCCTGTCCCTGGCACGCACCGGATGTCTCTGCGTCCGTCCACTGCTCCTCTGCGTGCCCCTTTGCCTTCTCCTCCTGAGTCCTCTCTTCCTGCTCTTCCTGACCCGGAGTCGGACTCTCTTCGTGCTGCCAGTCCTACTGTCACGCGTCTCCTTGCTACTGTCGTCACTGACCCTTCCTTTGATTCCACCTCTGCGTCTGCCCTAGTTACTGAGCTCGTCGACTTTGCTGCTCGCTGTCGTCTAGACTACGCTGCTAGTCTTGTTGCTGAGTCTGAGTCTGTCTGTCCTCCGTCCGTCGGGGGTGAGTGTGCCCTTGGCACGGACGTCCTTGAGGACAGGCAGGAGGAGTTCCAGTGTTTGGCTGCTGCTTCACCTCATCTCGTGTCCGTACTGCTTACCCCTGAGGGAGACCCGGATGCACTTGACATCCCGACTCCGCGCTCTTACGCAGAGGCGATAGAGGGTCCCTACTCCTCTCAGTGGCAGGCAGCTATGGACGCAGAGATGGCTTCCTGGAAGTCCACAGGCACCTACGTTGACGAGGTTCCCCCGCCTGGGGCGAACATCGTCAGTGGCATGTGGATTTTCAGGGTGAAGCGGCCGCCGGGTTCTCCGCCTGTCTTCAAGGCGCGTTACGTGGCTCGTGGCTTCAGTCAGCGGCAGGGAGTTGACTACTTTCAGACCTTCTCTCCCACCCCGAAGATGACCACTCTTCGGGTACTGCTGCACATAGCTGCTCACCGCGACTACGAGCTGCACTCTCTTGACTTCAGCACTGCTTTCTTGCAGGGCAGCCTGCACGAGGAGATCTGGCTGCGTCGCCCACCTGGCTTCACTGGGTCCTTTCCTCCTGGCACCCAGTGGAGCCTCCGGCGGCCAGTCTACGGTCTCCGCCAGGCACCGCGTGAGTGGCACGACACACTGAGGACTACACTTGCGGCTCTTGGGTTTGCTCCCTCTACTGCCGACCCGTCGCTGTTTCTGCGCACCGACACTTCTTTGCCGCCGTTCTACATCCTCGTGTACGTCGACGACTTGGTCTTCGCCACAGCTGACACTGCTGGACTCGCCCACGTGAAGTCCGAGCTGCAGAAGAGACACACGTGCACAGACCTGGGTGAACTGCGCAGCTACCTTGGCTTGCAGATCACCCGGGACAGAGCACGCCGCACCATTACCCTGACTCAGTCACACATGGTGCAGCAGGTCCTTCAGCGCTTCGGCTTCACGTACTCCTCGCCTCAGGCCACTCCTCTGCCTACTCGCCACTCGCTCTCAGCTCTGCCTTCGGATGAGTCCGTAGAGTCGAGTGGCCCGTACCCAGAGCTTGTTGGCTGCCTCATGTACCTGATGACCTGCACACGACCTGACCTCGCATACCCTCTTAGCATTCTTGCACGCTATGTTGCTCCTGGGAGACACAGACCGGAGCACATGGCTGCAGCGAAGAGGGTGTTGCGCTACTTGTGCAGTACGTCGGGCATGGGGCTTGTGCTTGGAGGGCAGAGTCCAGTGGTCCTCACTGGGCACGCAGACGCTTCTTGGGCTGACGACCAGGCTACGCAGCGGTCGTCACAGGGTTACACCTTCAGCCTTGGTTCCGGCTCTGTTTCGTGGCGGGCTACCCGCTCGTCTTCTGTTCTCGGCTCCAGTTGTGAGGCTGAGATCTACGCCGGGGCCATGGCTGCACAGGAGCTTCGCTGGCTCACCTACCTGCTGACTGACCTCGGAGAGCCGCCTCGTTCTCCTCCAGTGCTGTACGTAGACAACAAGGCCATGCTGGCCTTGTGTCGAGAGCAGAGACTGGAGCACAGAACGAAGCACATTGCTCTCCACTACTTCCTTGCTCGTGAGCTACAGCAGCGTGGTCAGCTGCGGCTTGCGTACGTGGCCTCTCAGGCCAACACTGCTGATATCTTCACCAAGGCACTTGCGCCTTGTGATCATCAGCGCTTCTGTACTCAGCTGGGTCTTGTGCCTACCTTGCCTCACTTGCTCACCCCTTGACCTTGTTTGTACTATTGCATATATATATATACACTTGCTCTTGCTTGTCTAGCCTTATATATATATGTAATCCTGCATGTGAACTGGCCTTGTGGCCTTGAACTTGTGCTCGGAATGTGTGGTGACTTTGTGATCCACCCTGAGCTTGCTTTGCTTTGCTTGACTGGTCTTGTGACCCCTTGTTCTCCCCCACTTTGCCTATGGGGGTGTGTCAGATTTATATGACATAGCTACTGTAGGCTATAGTGGGGTAGCACATATGGGGTACAGTTTTCTAGGGTTTACATTTTTGTACCCAACTTTCCCTTAGTCAATTCATTCTCGTTCAGTTTCTCACCTGCTCAGCGCGTACACCACTGTTCCCACCCACAGCACCCAACAGTAATCCGTTACCACTCGCGACACTCGCTTCGACACCATTCCCGCCACCTTTCACGACGCGACCCAACCTCACGGTTCGGTTGGTAACCTGCGCCCCGGACCTCCGCCTCGACATCTCCCAACCTCGGCGCTAGGCCCGTCGCGCACCCCACTTTTCACACATTACCGTTACCACTGTAGTTTCGCTATATATTCTTCGCTCATGCCTTCGCTCATTTGTACTTTTGCTTCGATAGTGCAATTCTCGTTCGCTCACTCAATTGCACTCGTAACAAGGGACTGATAGGCCACTTTCTACACCCAAATAGTTCCACACTCCATACCCTTCATCTCGTAAGCCAACCCAACACGATTTCTGGGTTGACAATCCCTGATGGAAGAAACTTGCACTTCGAAACTTGCCGCTGACTTTCTTGTTGCATTCTGTCAACTCGCGACGAGAGTATGAGACATTCGCCACAAATATTCGGTGAACGTCTAGGACTACCCGCTGTTTAACCGAGGGTGGGTACCCGGAGATGTGAAACTTCAAGGTGTGGAATTGTCGGAGAACAGGTAGTAACTACAGGTACTGTAGTAATGACGACGAGCAGCTGTCGCTTGCTGCCCCTTGCTGGCTGGTTCCGAAACCCTTGCTCGCGAACAAACTTCGTCAAGGCAGACTGTTTGGTGGTGACTGTTTGATGATGTCTTCTCATCTCATCCATCCACGAAAGTGAGCTGGCAAGGGAACTTGACAAGGGCTGCATGCCAGGGCATATGACTGCTTGGAGGCAGACTTCACCGCAACAGGCCTCAAACCGAACGGGAAAACTTACCGGGATGCAATGGGGTTATGGGCAACTCTTCTGATAATAACAGAGTGTAGGGTGTCAGCCACATTCCATTAATCATCGCAAAGCGCACGGGGCGAAAATTCCTTAATTTTGGGGGTGCAAAGCAGACTGGGAAACTGAGAGATGAAATCAGGGGCGCCGCCAGTCCAAAAAATGCTGCATCCTGCCCTTTTGGAGTCTTGACTGAGATGAAATGGGCGGCATGGCAAACTGCACCCTTGGGTTTCGTGCTCAATGCATCAAAACAGGAAACTGCAACCCTCGGGTTTCGTGCTCAATGCATCAAAACAGGAAGCCGAATGGTCTCCGCTTCACAGAAATTTACGACTCTTCCCCTTCCATGCACCCTCTAGATCTCGACGCGATTCTCGCGAAGCAGGATACCACACGGATGACCTTTGAGGCGTCTCATAGGTCCTACACACGAATGGACGGCATGACTGCCTCATTCGTGAAGCATGCACGCTCTCAGAGGCTGGGGTTTCGCGGTAGCGGTGAAAGGAGCGGTGAGAGGAAAAGGGACGGCGATAAGAGGCGGTGCCGTGCAGCTGAAGTATTCTGTGAGCTGCGTCTCGCCTTCGAGGAACCCACTTGGCCTTCTTCTATCTAGCTGCTCGAAACTGCCGCCAAGTCTCGAGATTCTCCGCGCAGCTAAAACCTGTATGCGAAAGAATCAATGGCTCCTGCTGGAGAACCTTCCAACAAGCCCGTGATGGGCGGCAGAAGTCAGCCAGGTCTGTCTATCTCAGGCGTTCTCTGGTTTGATAAATATTTTCCAGTTTCCACGGGCTCAGTTTGGGTAGTCCTTGAGATGGCGGCGGTTTTGCTGGCGTTTTGAATTTCCTCAAGCCGTGCGTCTTGCTGGTTCCAGGTTCGGAGGAGGACAGGCAAGCGTATTTTTCTCGCAGGGAGCTTACTCTGCGCACGCGTGGACAAGCAACAACTATCCAGGTACTATTATTCACCAAAATGTGTCGGGAACCTGAAGCTGGACAGTGGGAAAAAATATATATATTATTGCACATTCTGACTCGTTATCAGATTCGACATCATGTCGCTAGAATTTCACGACCCAGATCTACGCAGAAACGGTGTAGCAGCCCTCAAAGCACTGCTCACCACCTGTGAAATGGCTTCGCCTCGCACTGTCTCCTTCTCGCGCCCTTCTCACCGCTACCCATGGCCCTCACCCCTGCGCGTGCGGCGGGTCAGGAGCTGTTGGACATCCGCGCGAGCCGCTCCGAGTGGCTGCGGGAGAGGACTCTTGCGACGGCGGTGGGCGTTCGCATCCGCAACGGGCAGTACACCGACCGCCCCGCCATCCTCGCCTTCGTCTTCTCCAAGGTGCTTCCGCCGCCTCTCCTTCTCCGCGCCCCCCTCCTCTTCCGCTTCCCGCCTCCTTCCTATGCTTCTTACGCTCCCGCCTTTCTCGCCTTTGCATCCGCCGCCCCCCCTTCCCCCTCCTCGTTTTTCTGCTCCGCCGAGTGATTTCCCGGTCTTTCTTCCCCGCTTTCCTTGTCCACGCCCCTTGCTCCTCCTGTTTCCCTTCCAACCCTCCCACTCCCCTACGATTTCTATCCACGCCCCGTTTTTCCTCCTCCGTCCTCCTTCCTCCTCCCTCCTCCTCCGTCCTCCTCCCTTTTCCTCCCTCCACCCCCCGATTGCTCTCCTCCTCCCTTTCTTCCCCTCCTCCCCCTTCCACCCTCTCCACCCCCTTACTCCCCTTCCTCGACTCTTCTTCCCCCTCCCTCCTCTCCCCTCCTCCTCTCCCCTCCTCCTCCCACCTCCCTCCCTTTCCTCCCACCTCCCCGATCTTTCTCCCTCCTCCTCGCTCCTCCCTCCTCCCCCTCCTTCCGCCTCACCCCCCTCCTCCCACCCGCCCTCTTCACCTCGGCCCCCCTCTGTCCCCCTCCCTCCTCCCTCCTCCCGCCTCCCTCCTCCCCCCCTCCCCCCTCCCTCCTCCCCCCCCCCTCCCCCCCCCTCCTCCCCCCTCCCCCCCTCCCCCCCTCCCCCCTCCCCCCTCCCCCCTCCCTCCCCCCCCTTCTCTCCTCCCCCCTCCCTTCCCCCCACTCCCTCCTCCACCCTCCCTCCTCCCCGCCCCCTCCCTCCTCCCCCCTCCCTCCTCCCCGGTCCCTCCCCTCCCTTCCCTCCCTCCTCCCTTTTTCCCAATCCTCCTCCTTTTTCCTCCGTCCTCCCCCCTTTCTCCCGCTCCTCCCTTTTCCCCCCTCCTCCCCCTTCCTCTCCCCTCCTCCTCCCCTCCCCCTCCCTGGTCCTCCTCCCCGCTACTCTCGTTCCGCCTGTGCCATCATCTCGCGTGTCTCTGCATCCTGCTGCGCGCAGTGCCGTTCCCCCATTCCTTCCCCTCTCCTTCCGCTCAACCGCCTTATGCTCCCCTCTATCCTCCCTTTCCCCTCCCCTTCCCTTCCCTCTCCCTGGTCTTCCCGCCCCTCTTTCTCCCCTCTCCCCCCTCTTCTCCCTCTTCCCCCTCTTCCCCTTCTCCCCCTCTCCCCCCGCTCCCCGCTCCCCCTTCTCCCCGCAGGTGCATCCCAACTGGTTACCACCGGACCGCTTGTTACCAGCGCGGTTGGAGGGCGAGGGGTCGCTGTGGTGCGACCTTGATGTGCTCGAGTTCGCCTGCCTGCCCGGCCGCCAGGTATGCTGCTCTGCGCTGCTCTTCTCTGCTCTGCCTTGCCTGCCCTGCCCTGCCTTCCCACCGCTGCCCTGCATTCCCACCGCTGCCCTGCCTTCCCACCGCTGCCCTGCATTCCCACCGCTGCCCTGCATTCCCACCGCTGCCCTGCATTCCCACCGCTGCCCTGCCTTCACGCTGTGCTGTCCTTCCCCTCCACGTTGTGCTGCGTGCTGTGCCCACAGCACACGGCAAGGCACAGCACACGGCAAGGCACAGCACACAGCAAGGCACAGCACACGGCAAGGCACAGCACACGGCAAGGCACAGCACACGGCAAGGCACAGCACACAGCAAGGCACAGCACACGGCAAGGCAAGGCACAGCACACGGCAAGGCAAGGCACAGCACACGGCAAGGCAAGGCACAGCACACGGCAAGGCACAGCACACGGCAAGGCACAGCACACGGCAAGGCACAGCACACGGCAAGGCACAGCACACGGCAAGGCACAGCACACGGCAAGGCACAGCACACGGCAAGGCACAGCACACGGCGAGGCACAGCACACGGCAAGGCACAGCACACGGCAAGGCACAGCACACGGCAAGGCACAGCACACGGCAAGGCACAGCACACGGCAAGGCACAGCACACGGCAAGGCACAGCACACGGCAAGGCACAGCACACGGCAAGGCACAGCACACGGCAAGGCACAGCACACGGCAAGGCACAGCACACGGCAAGGCACAGCACACGGCAAGGCACAGCACATCGGTAACCACCTGAGTTTTTCCTTCCCGCTTCCCATGACCCCCCTCCCCCCCCTCCCCTCGTCCTCTCGTGATGCGCGTCCCTTGCGGTGTGGCAGCCAGCGAGGGACAGGGCGAGGGCGGAGGAGGAGAGCAGCGAGCTCGTGGACGACCTTCGTGGCTGCAGTGCCGTGCTGGGCCCCGGCTCACAGGTGAGGAGGGGCTTTAAGGGCTGCAGGTGAGGAGGGCTTTAAGGGCTGCAGGTGAGGAGGGCTTTAAGGCGAGCAGGTGAGGGGGGCTTTAAGGCCAGCAGGTGAGGAGGGCTTTAACGCGAGCAGGTGAGGGGCCTTCAAAGGCGAGCAGGGGAGCAGATGAAGGCTGCAGCGCCGTGCTGGGACCCCGCTCGCAGGTGTGGAGGCTCGCAGGTGAGGGGGGCTTTAAGGCGAGCAGGTGAGGGCTGCAATGCTGTGCTGGGGGGTTTAAAGGCGAGCAGGTGAGGAGAGCTTATAAAAGGCGAGCAGGAGAGGGAATGGAAACCTGAATCCGTGGCCTTCTTTCGTGCATGCACCCCAATCACTTGCCGCCTTGACATGGTCGTCCACCCACATCTGTTTCGTCCCTTCCCTTCCCACACTCTTTCCTCACACCTGCATGATGTGCCCGACCCTGCATGTGGCCGCCCCTCCACCACTCCTCCCATCCACCTGCTTCCGTTCCGTCCATGTGGCCTGCGATGGCACCTTTGTCACCGTCGCCCCCTCGGCTCCTCTCCCAACCACCCCATTTCGCCCTTGCACGTGCCGCCTCTGCCGCACCCCTGCATGTGCCCCGCGCATCCACTCCGCCGTGCCACGCGACAATACATTCGTCACCAGGGGCCCCGCCCGCCCCTCTGCTCCTCCCCACCACACCCGCCCATTAATCGCCCCACATCTCCCCTGCCGCTGTCTTGTCGCACCGCCCTCACCATCCATATCAAATGCGCCAGGTGGCATGCGACGACACTTTGGTCACCATGGGTTTCTCTGCTCCTCTCCCCCCCACCCACCCCATCGCATCGCCCCTGCCTCTGTCTCACCTCACTCACCTCTCTCCACGCCCCCCTCCCATCATCCACCTGCTTTTATCCAGGTGGCATGCGACGACACGTTTGTCACCATGGGCCCCATTGTTGTCGACAGCTCAGCGCCACATCAGCTCGGCTTCCTCACCAACTGCCACGTGGCAGGCACCTCCCCAGAGATGTCGGAGGGGCGCTGCCTGTACCACCCGCACTGCCCGAGCCTCGGCCCCGGCGTGCCTATCGGGGAGGTTCGGCGCGTCGTGTCCTTCCGAAGCGACCTGGAGTGGTTCGGGTTCTACATCAACCACCAGCCTGGTGCGGAGGGGAGGGGAAATTAAGGGGGGAGGAGGGTTTGGGGCGGGGGAGGGGAGGGGGGAGAAGGAAAGAGGTGACTTAGTACGTCGACTCAAAAGTGGCCTTCCTTGACTTGGAGTGGTTCGGGTTTTACATCAACCACCAGCCTGGTGCGGAGGGGAGGGGAAATGATGCAGGGAAGGGGGATGGGTTGGGGGGTTAGGTAAGGGGGGGAGAGAGAGGGGGTGACATCAACCAACCACCAGACTGGTGCGCTGGGAAAAAACAGGAGGGAGCGGAGGGAAGGGAAACGATGGGGTGGGCATGGGGGGAAAGGGATTGGGGCATGGGGGGGAAAGGGAGAGGGGAATGGGGGGGAAAGGGAGAGGGGCATGGGGGGGAAAGGGAGAGGGGCATGGGGGGGAAAGGGAGAGGGGCATGGGGGGGAAAGGGAGAGGGGCATGGGATTTGTTTTTCCAGCAGAGTGCCATGCAACTGCAATTCACTTGCTTACCCTTGCGCGTCCACCAGGTGCCAAAGCAGGTGGGGACGCGGCTTTACTTGCAACTCACCTGACTTACCCTTGCCCTGCCATGCATGTCAACCAGGTGGCAAATCAGGTGAGGAAACAGGGGGGTGCTGCTCTGGAGAGGGCGAGATGGAGACCGGTCCCGTGATCCCACCATTCACAGACTGGCCCCTTACATGCCACCCTCACCCAGCTTAGCCCAGCTTTGCCCAGCGACTTTTTAGTCGCCTAAAAAACACTCAGCCCACGTGAGTGAAGCGATGGCAGGCCCTCATTGGCTCATTGGCAAGCAAGCCCATCTTACCCTCCCTCCACACTCTCCCTCCTCCGCTCCGCCCCTCCATCCGCCACACCCCCCTCCCCGCTGCAGACATCAGGGTGCGCGTGGACGGGGCGTTCGCCGCCTTCACGCCCACCATCCACGCGCATCAAATCACAGCGCTCCCACGCGGCCTGCCGCCCGGCACAGTGGGCCCGCTGCTCCAGATCCTCCCCGCGTGGCCCGTCACTGCGCTCGTTTCCCAGCAGGTGGGCTTCTAAAGTGCCTTAAGGCCGCAGGTGGGCTGTTGAGGTGCCCTTTAGATACCAGCAGGTGGGTGACTGGGGTGCCTCAGAAGGGCACAGTGGGCCCGCTGCTCCAGATCCTCCCAGCATGGCCCGTCACCGCCCTCGTCTCACAGCAGGTGGGCTGTTGAGGTGCTTTTGAGAGCTCTCAAAAGCGACTCTGGTTTTTCCAAGTAGGTGGGTTTTGGTTTTCTCGTACTTTTCGTATTGTTTTCCCATGTTTCTTTTCGTGGTTTCTTTTTTTTTTCCCATTGATTTCTCTTGGTTTTCCCCTCGAAGTTCTCCCGTAGGTTTCCCCTAGTTTTCCCGTTGTTTTCTCTTGGGTTTCCCGTGATCTTCACGTTGTTTTTGTGTGGGTTTGCCCTGGTTTTCCCGCATCATCAGGTGGTCTCTCATGACCGGTGGCAGGCACGCACCATCGGGCCACTGTGTTCCTCTCGCCTCTCCTTCCATCTTCCCCTTGCGCATCCCCTTCCTCCTCCGCGTCTGCTTCCCCATTCACTTCTTCCCTCTCTCCCCCTCCCCTTTACCCCCTCTCCCCTCCTCCCCCACACAGGTGGCCAAGGTGGGGCGGAGCTCGGGTCTCACGCGGGGCACAGTGATGGCATACGCGGTGGAGTACTATGTGGACAGCAAGCGCGCCTTCGCCTCTGACCTCCTCATCCGCAGCTCCTCCGAGGTGCGCTGGCCTCCGCTCCCTCCTCCGCTCCCTCCGCCACTCCCTCCTCCACCCCTCACACCCCGCATCCTCCTCACACCCCTCACACCCCTCACACCCCTCCCCCTTCCCAGCGTCCCCCATCCACTTTTCCTCCTCTCTTTCCTTCCGCCTACTTTTTTCCGCCACATAACCCTCCTCCTCCTCATCCGTTTCTTCCACTCCCCTTGCCCCTCTTCCCCTTGCGCCAGGCGCCCTTTGACCTGGAGGGCGATGCAGGCAGCACGGTGTATCTGCACGGGGCGGTGGAGGAGGAGAGGGGAGGAGCAGAGCAGGGGAGTGGGCAAGGAGGGGAGCGGAGAGCGAGAGAGGGGGCGGTTAGTGGGAGCGGTGACAGCATGTTAGCCCGGGGCAGAGGCGCAAGCCCAGCAGGAGGATTAGGAGCAGCAGCAGCGGAAACAGCAGCAGCAGCAGCAGCAGCAGCAGAAGCAGAATCAGAGGCTGGAGTAGCAGCAGGAGCAAGAGGAGGCAGAGGGGGTGAAGAGGGGGTTCCCTTGCGTCCTGCACAGGAGGACGGGTGTGAGGACGGGTGTGAGGAGGGGGAGGAGGAACAAGGGAGGGGGATGGTAGACGGGACACGCGTGCATGTGGGCAGGCGTGGGGAATACGGGAAAGGGGAGGGTGTAGCAGTGGGGAGTGAAAGCAGGGGGCAGGCTGCTGCTAGTGGCGGTGCTGGGGGAGAGGGCAGCAGGGGGGGAGGAGAGGGGGATGGTGGGGCGAGCAGCAGGGAAGAGGGGTCTCCAGTGAGGGAGGGAGAGGAGGGAGAGGGAGTGGCAGGAGCAAATGTTGCACCTGGAGGAAACACAGCAGAGCTGGAAGGAAGCAGGGCGGAAGCTAGAGTGCCAGGCGCCGCTGCAGCAGAGGGTGAGGCTGAGGGCGGCGAGTGGCGGCCGCTTGCACTGGTGTGGGGCGGCACGGGGCGGCACGCGAGGGTGACGAGGTGGAGTGGCAAGCACCCCGAGTACTGGACGACTGCTGTGGACCTGCATCGCCTCATGACCCACCTCCATGTCTCCCCTGCCCCTCCCTCCCGCACCCGTGATGGAGGGGAGTGGGAGGGGGGCGGGGACGAGGGAGGGGGGATGAGGGGCAGGGCGGAGGGAGAGGGGAGGGGAAGCACTGGTGGGAGTGGGAGGGAGGTGGAGGATGGTGTTGCGGAGTTGTAACAGAGGTGCTGCTTTGCTACTGCTGCTGCCGTTGAGGTAGGTGTGGCTCGTCTGGTGAAGGCTTTGGAAGTGTCATTTGGAGAAGCTCACTGCCCTGTCTGTAGGGAAGTTTCGTGTATATTACAGCTTTAGGTTAGGTACCGGTATGCTTTCTAAGGTCCACCTTTGGGTGGGTGTATAAAACACTGGACTCACTAGGCTCACATGTGGGTTGTCTTGTCTTGTATACCGTAGCTTATTTTGCTACGTATTTTGTCGTTGTAAGTGTTATGCTTATTTCCATTGCAGTATTGGTTGCGCTGAATTAAATGTATCATCGCTAAAACAGTGAGATTGATAAGATGTTGTGTTGCTAGAATGGTTGTTCCAGAAATGGCATAGTTAGCAAACTACATCAGATAATTATTATGTAGCCAAAACTCGCTACGTGCTGTAGCGGTGAACAACTGTGCAACTTGCACGAGTTAGCTTCCTAAACTGTATCGAAACGAATTAAATGTGAAGTCGGCGAGTTGAGCCGCAGCGCGACTTGTGCCCGTGAATGTCCAGTGGCGCAATGCAGTGTGTATTCTTCGTCATCCCCCCTCCAAGGAGAGTGAGCAAGGCAATCTGCGCAATTACCTCCACGGAGGTCCTTCGCGCGCGCGGTCAAAACAGTCAGCCAGCTCGAGTGCGCCAAGGTTCAGGTTGTAACCCGAGAGCGTCCTCGTCATCAAATCAAACCATCCAGCGAATTCCCACAAACTTGGTTTGTATGCGCTCTGTGCTTCAAGTTCGTCCGCCTTGACTTCGCTGAGTTTCGCCTCCGCCCACTCCCACAGCATGCTTCCACCTCACAGCTTGCCTCAGCGTCGCCTCCCACAGCTTCGAGGTGCAGCCGCAGCTGCCGAAACTGTCATCCACGGTTACGTGTGCTCCCCTCCCCTCCTCCTCATCTCCGAGTCTCCTCTAACGGAGCACCAAACTCGTCATCCTCCTCTTTTGGCACTGCTTCAATCAGCCGCGTCTCCTGAGTCAGCCTTGCTGCCCGAATCCCCGGGACAAGCGTCCCACTCATGCCTGAACAGGCTGCACGGCCAGCACGGGACGGCATACAGTGCGTTCCGTCCCATCATATCCCCCTCATTAGTGTTCCCACCCACTCACGCCTGAACGGGCTGCACAGCCAGCACCGACCTCACACGGTGCATGCCTTTCACCCACGAGGAGACTTTGAGTCGACCCAAAGGTCCCAAAAGTGTTCCCACCCACTCACGCCTGAACGGGCTGCACGGCCAGCACAGACCGCACTCGGTGTGTGCCATCCACCCACGTGAGGCTGCCAAACGAGAACGCCCTTGTCGCCTGCACCACTGTGAACGTCACCGAAAACACCTGCGACGCGCCCGGCGCTATCGTAAACGCACCCGGCGCCACCACCACTCGCACGTTCTTCGGCGCCACCACTCTTGCTCTGTACTTCGACACCTGCCGAGCCACGTTCGTCACGCGCCGAACCACCGTGACTTGCTTCACCAGATTCGACACACAGATGTTCGGCAGGTTCAGATCGTACGCCTTGATCGCCGTCCGCCCGCCCCCCTTCTGCGGCACCTGCTGCTGGTGCTGGAAGACTTTGCTCGCCGAGTTGAAATTAATCCCGAAGAGGAACGCCATGTAGCCCTTGGCACCCACGTTGTACACCAGCCCCGGGTCCATCGCCCTCACCGCCACCACGTGCCCCGACCCAAAATTCCACGGCGTCGCTCGGTGCCCCGACGACGTCCGGATCGGCTCGTTCCGATTGTTAAACACCGTGCCCGTCGTCATGATCGCGGATTTAACCGCTGCTGGGCTCCAGCTCGGGTACTTCTGCATTATCAGCGCCGCGATCCCCACCAGATGAGGCACAGCCATAGACGTTCCTGAGAGCAGCTGGTACGCGGCCTCCCCGTTCTTTCCCGAGGCCATGGGGCCGAGGAGGTTGACGCCTGGGCCGGTGATGTCGGGCTTTAAGATGTCGTTGGTGAAGCCCTCGGGGGAGTGGCCGGGGGGGAGATTGGGGTCCACTATGGGGCCCGTGGAGGAGAATGGTGCCATCACTGGCGCCACCTGGTTGGACTGCAGTGAGAGCGAGGAGAGGGTCGCGCGGGGACTGGTGGGGGAGGGGGGAGTTTGTGTGGGGGGGAGGGAGGAAGGGGAAGAGAAGAGAGGACAAGGCGGTCATGACGGAGCGGACAAGGGGAACGGCGCCATGGCTGGTGAAACTTGGTTGGACTGGGGTGAGAGCGAGGAGAGCGTGGCGCGGGGACTGGTGGAGGGGAAGTGGGGGAGGGTAGAGTGGGAGGGATGCGGAGAGGGGTGGGGACGGGGGATAGGGGATAAGGAGGGGAGAGAACAGGAAGTGAATGGAGAGAGAAGATTGAAGGAGGGAAAGGGAGGAAAGCCTAAGCAGCAGCATGTCACGTGCGCGTGGATGATGTAAGAGGACCACTCACTCACACCCACTCACTGCAAGGGACCCTTTCACCAATCGAAAGCAAACCCCCGTGCACCACCACTCACACCCACCTGCTAGAGCTGTTGAGGAAGCTGCGCAGCGCCTGCGACATGGAGCGGTTGACCACGAGGGAGGGCAGGTCGAGCGCGTACCCCTCCCCCACGCTGCCCGCCGTGGCGGACGCGGACGCGATCACGATCGCGCGCCCGCCCGCCCTCCGCACCTCCCCCGCCTTGGCCTCGGGCGTCGTCCCCCCCGCCTCGCAGAGGACCATGCGCCCCGCCACGCGCGCGGGGGAGAGCGCGCCGGGCAGACACATGCGCGCCTGGGGAGGGGGAATAGGGCCGTGGGGAATGACGAGGGTGAGAGGCTTCACGAATCAGGCATGGAGGCGTGATGGTCATGGCAGTCTCATAGCAGCACAGGCGTCACGCTCTCTGCATGTGAGTCACATCATCACCCCACCGGCATTAGAGAGGCGTCGCTGGCCAATCGCCTCAACTCGTGAGAGGTTCACCGCGTGACTTGTGAGAATTCTCAAACGTGTGCGCACCCCCGGGGTGAGCCACGCACCTGCATGAGAGGCACGTTGCTGGCGGCGGCAGAAGCGCCATCTACGAGCGAGAGGTTCACGGTGTGCGCCGTGCCCGCGTGGTACGTCACCCCCACCACCGTCACCGCCTCCGCGCTCACTCCTCCCCCGCCGTCGTCATCCGCGGTGGCGGTGCTCCGCCCGCCCGCGGTCCTGGCGGAGGCAGTGGTGGCTGCGCCGTCCTGCAGCCTCAGCGTGGCTTGCGGCGGCCACGCTCTGTCCGTCGTGCTGCGCGCGAACGGAGGAGGGTAGGGGAGGTGAAATTCGGGAGGAAATGGTGGGCGAGAGAAAGGTGGGAGGGAGGGAGGTGGTTAGGCGAGTGAAAAAATTTACGTGAGGGAGGAGGGAGGGAGGGGGGACAGGCGAGGGCTTTGGCGAGAAATGTCACCACAGCACGGGAGGAGAGGGCGGCGAGGGACACCACAGCACGGGAGGAGAGGGCGGCGAGAGACACCACAGCACGGGAGGAGAGGGCGGCGAGAGACACCACAGCACGGGAGGAGAGGGCGGCGAGAGACACCACAGCACGGGAGGAGAGGGCGGCGAGAGACACCACAGCACGGGAGGAGAGGGCGGCGAGAGACACCACAGCACCATCCACAGCGCGGCGAGGGAGGGGGCGGCAGGCGAGTGGAGGGGACAACTGCAGTAACCACACCACACCTCATCACACCACCCCGCACCACACCACACCATACCGCACCACACCACACCATACCATACCACACCATTCCGCACCACACCACACCCACAGCGGGGAAAGCGGCGCACCTAGCGGCGACGGTGAGGTAGTAAGGCGACGCGTTGCGGATGGTGCGGTACTGTCCGTCGTCGCTGTCCGGCGGCGCCTTGAGATTGCCGGCCACCAGCACTGGTAGCACGCCCGCCTGCCGTGAGCACACACAGTCAGGAGGGAGGGTAAGGAAAGTGGGCACGAGAAGGTGCGGGAGGGAGCAGGGGCGTGAGGAAACGCCGCGCGTGCGCCGCTGGCGGGCTCTTAGGATTGCCGAATGAAGTAGTTTTATCCACGAAAACTGACTCTATCTGCAGGCGCGAATGAGAGCAGAAAGGAGCTTTAGCAGGACTCTACCTGCGCGGCGCGCATGAGCGGGAGGTGCTTGAAGTAGTTCTCATCGCTGAAGGCGACGGACATGGAGAGAAGATCCACGCCGTCCGCCACGGCGCGATCCACGGCCTTGTACACGTCAGCCTCGCTGCCCATCGCCACCTGCCCGTCGAACCACAGCGCCTTGTATATTGCCAAACGCGCGCGCGGCGCCATTCCGCGCGCCGTACCCAAGGGCTGCGCGCCCGACTTGACGCGCACGGCGTTGCCCGCAGCCGCTCTGCGCGGGGAGGGTGGGAAGGGGAGGTTGGGCGAGGGACAATGTTGAAGAGGGGCGATGGTTGGAATGCGGGAAGCTGTGCTGCACGGCATGCATCTTTTCCACTGTCTTGAGTTTCGTTGATCTGCATTGACTTGCGTTGACCCGAATTGATTCTTTACTCACCCAGCGCACCAGCTGCCGTGGCTGTTGGCGTCGCGGGGCGACAGGAACTCGATGCTGGGGTCGATGCGCCCGCCCTCCGCCTTCAGCCCCGCCACGAACCACTGCGCGCCGATGATCTTCTGCGAGCACCGCGGAAAGTCCGCCGTCGTGTTGCAACCCCCGCGCCACCGGCTGGGCGGCGGGCCGTACGGGGTGCTAGTCTGCGCGGACAGGTGGGCAAAACGATGACTGGTAAAGTTAACGTCCGCGAAAGAGAAAAAAAAGAACTAAGGGGGGCCCGAGGTGGAGCAGAAATGGACAAAAAGAGTGTGCGGGGAAGGAAAGTTCACCTTGTCCGAAAAGGCCGGGTGCTCCGGCCAAATACCCGAGTCAATGAGGCCTACAATCACATTTTCCCCCGCGCGGCTCTCCCCGCCCAGCTGCGGCCAGACTTTGTTGGGCAGGTTGAGGAAGTCGGGCGTGTGCGTCGTCGCCGCGCGCACCATCTGGCTCCTCTCCACGCGATCCACCCACGGCTGTTTTTTTAGTTTCTCCGCTTCCGCCGCTGTCAAACGCGCCGAAAACGCGTTCATGAGGTAGCGGTAGCTGTGCACGATCCGCGACGTGGGGAGGCCGGCAGAGGAGATTAATCTCCGGTGCGAGTCTTTGAGGAACTGCGAGAATTCCTGCACCGCCGCGGAGTGCACGTCGGGGCGACGCCGCGGAGTGCCGTCCAGATTTATCGCTGCAGCTGCCGCCGCAGCCGCCGCTGATTTTATTTTGGTGACTCCTCGCTGAAACGCCCGCTTTGCCATTCCCCACCCGTCTTCCCCGACAGACAGGGTTTCCGCCATTTTCCGGGCGCTGCTTCCGCCGTCTCCCTCTGATATGCCACCGCTTCCGTCCTCTACGCCGTCACCGTCATCGTTATCGTCATCGTCGGTCTCTATATTGGTGGCAGTGGCTCTCAAACCAGCTATCCCACCGCGATACGTAAGAATCGAGGGGGCTGAGTTAAGATACACTATGTAAAGGGCAGCTTGGTTGTAAGCTCGCTTAGTGGATAACGAAGCAAACGAAACAGAAGGCGTGTGCCGGTGCTGGTGATAGCGCGAACGTTCCAAGGATATTCGCCGGTTGCTGTCGCTTGTGCTGTGCTGGTGATCATCCTCGTTACTGGGTTGTGGTCGGGGTGGATATATCGCGGCTACTATCGAGTCAGGATTGACTTGTAACGAATCATCCAGCTCCGGCAGTTTTTCCCGCCCTGCGCTTGTGCCTCGCGCCGCGGCTGCGTCCAGACCTGTTTGTGTGTCTAATAGTTCGTCGGAGGACTCTTGTTGCTTCCCAGGCTCGTTGGTGACGACGGGTGGGCTCGCTAGTACTGCGCGCGCCGTCGTGCCGCTTATTAGCAGCAGCACAAGACAAAAGAGGTGGCTTGATGGAAGGGTAACACGCGAACGTATACAATCGTCTCGCGACGGTCTGCGAAGGGATACTGAATGTGCGACAAGATGCCCGTTTTGTCTAGCCGTGCACGCGCTGTGCGCGACAATCGCAGGCATCGCAACTAGTAAGACCACGCGACTGGGTCCAAGCCAGACTAGAAGAACGTTAAGCCTGGCTGTATATAATTGAACAACGGAGAAGACGCTACCTCATACCCGCATAGTTTCCTGTTGACATGCTTGGCTGTATAACAGTCGCGGAGAAGCAGTTAGTGGCGCCAGAAACTAGTGAGGCAGTAGTTCATCGACCACCAAACAAAGGCTGCTTGAAGGTGCACCACCTAGCATTTATCCATGGCGCGTCCAACGCGAGCCGAGGCAACTCAACTGCTTATCAATTTCCTCGTGTGTGCTGATACTGCAGTTTCCCACTTCCTGAAATGCGGAATATACTCAACGACGTGGCGGGCGGGACGTGGTGGTCATCTCGGCAATAAATGCTAGTGGCAGCTGGAAGCTCTTACCTCTGTCTGCTGCACGACGCCCATTTCTCCTCTCCACCACCTTATCTCAGAAGGACGGCATGGGGTAACTTGTGTCAATTCGTTGGACCCACTGCACAATTTCTCGATTCCAATTCTCAGCTCAAGACCAGAAGGGGACATGGTGCGTCAGGGGTGTCGCGTTAGGGGTAAGGGCTCCAGGACCAATGGTCGTGCTTGCATTCGAGCCGCGTCCAGGCGTCCAGGTGTGTCTCGAATTTGCGCGCCTCGATTGAAACATTGAACAACATGGCCGCGATGCACAAGCGAATGACGTGGACAGGCACGTCGCTTGAACCCAGGGACTGACTTCTGGGTGGGGCTCACGATGGACGCCGGCAGGAGGACGCTGACACCGAATCTGGTAACTGACGACACGGAATTTCGGCAAGCCTTTGTGTTATGAGTTGTGAAAGAAGAGTAAGCTTAGAGTTCAATAACGCGGAAGTGATTACAACTACTGACGAAGTAATGAAGCCTAGCAGAGATATAAAGAAAGTCTAGCTAGGCGGGGTCCGCGGGATCGTGAAGTTTGGGTGCTGGTTCGGGGTTGTCAAACCCGAAAACGACGCAAGGGGCGTTCCGGAGGCGAGTCTCAGGAATAGAATGCAACGGAATGAATGAACTAGGAAAGTGAGTCATACAAATAGCAAACCTAGAAAGTGTTGTACTCTCTACAGTGCTCCTCACTACAGCCTATTATAACAATGTGCAACATTTGACACACCCCCATAGGCTAAGTGAGGGGCATCAAATCAAGCAGGGTGAACTAACGGTCACAAGACCAGTCAAGACAAGAAGCAAAGCAAGCTCAGTGTGGATCTCAAGGACACCACACAATTTCCGAGCACAAACAAGCGACCACAAGGCCAGTTCAAGAGAGTGTTGAGTAGCAACAGGGAGATACAAGTATGAAACCCTAACTGGGGTTGTACTTTATACTGAGCACCTCACTGTAGCCTAGCAGAACTAAGAACATACAAATATGTTTTGACACACCCCCCTAGGCAAAGTGAGGGATAGCCAACACAACAAACGGTCACAAGACCAGTCAGGCAAAAGAACAAGGCAATGCAACGCCCAGGGTGGATCTCAATATCACCACTCATTCTGAGCACAAGCAAGCGGCCACAAGGCCAGTTGACATGCAGAGTTATAATAGCAAGGCAGTACACTGATCACAACCTAGCAAGAGTAAACATGCTGGCATAAATAAAGATATCAGTGTACAACAAGTGCAAGATCAAGAGACAAGCAGGTGAGGCAGAACAGGCAGAAGCCCAAGAGCAGTGCAAAAACGTTGATGATCACCAAACCCGAGGGCCTTGGTGAAGACATCAGCAGTGTTGGCCCGAGAGGCCAAGTAAGCAAGGCGAAGCTGACCACGCCGCTGCAGCTCTCGAGCAAGAAAGTAGCGAAGAGCAATGTGCTTCGTTTTGTGCTCCAGTCTCTGCTCCTAACACAAGGCAAGCATGGCCTTGTTGTCGACGTACAGAACTGGAGGTGTAACCCTGTGACGAACGCTGAGTCGCCTGGTCGTCGGCCCAAGAATCGTCGGAGTGTCCTGTGAGTACCACTGAACCCCGTCCTCCAAGCACAAGCCCCATGCCCGATGTACTGCACAAGTAACGCATTACCCTCTTCGCAGCATCCCAGTGCACCTTTCGGTGTCTACAGGGAGCCACGTAGCGAGCCAGGAGGCTGAGAGGGTATGCGAGGTCAGGTCGTGTGCACGTCTTCAGGTACATGAGGCAACCCACAAGCTCTGGGTACAGACCACTCGGCTCTACGGACTCGTCCGAAGGTGGAGCTGAGAGCGAGTGGCCTGTAGGCAGAGGAGTGGGCTGTGGCGAGGAGTACTGGAAGCGGAAGCGCCGAAGGACCTGGTGCACCATGTGTGACTGAGTCAGGGTGATGGTGCGCAGTGCTCTGTCCCGGGTGATCTGCAAGCCAAGATAGCTCCGCAGCTCACCCAGGTCAGTGCAGGTGTGTCTCTCCTGCAGCTCCGCCTTCACTAGGGCCAGCGCCTTAGTATAAGCAGTCGCAAAAACCAAGTCGTCGACGTACACGAGAACATAGAACGGCGGCAGAGTAGTGTCGGTGCGTAGAAACAGCGACGGGTCAGCAGAAGAAGGAGTAAACCCAAGAGCCGCAAGTGTCGTCCTCAGTGTGTCGTGCCACTCGCGGGGCGCCTGTCGGAGACCGTAGACTAGCCGCCGGAGGCTCCACTGGGTACCCGCAGGAAACGACCCAGTGAAGCCAGATCTCCGGCGGTCCACTCCCATAGCCTCCGCCGCCACGAGCTGCGCCCCCAGAGCCTCCGCCCCTGCCAGCTCCACCCCGCCCGCTTCCACCACCCCCGCCGCCTCCACCACCCCGGCCACCTCCACCACCCCCGCCACCTCCACCGGTAGGGTTCTCTTTGAGGAAGGCCAGCTTGAGAGCGGCGCGGTAGCGAGTCTCACTAGAGCGAAGGTGGATCATGAGATCGGCAACAGTGCGGAAATCTGCGAGCTCAGGGAAGAGGTACGGCAGAATGAGGCGGCCTAGGGCAGCAGTAGCTGGGGAGGAGTAACGAGCGACAACTGCGTCATAGAGGTCTTTGGCTGTCTTATGCTGGCCAAAATGGGCTCTCTCAGCTAGCGGGAGGTGATTGCGGACAGCAAGGCAGGCAGTAGCGTCACGTGTGAGCCACTTCGACTAATCTGAGCGGTCAGCTGTAGCGGGTGGGGCGAGGTGGGATCCGGACGTATGTTCTATCAGTGAAACTCCATCCCTAGCCTCGCTCTGCAGGAACAGCTGGAAATCGTCGAGCCAAACGTCAAAGCTAATCAAGCGAACCTCTGCATCATAGATAAGAACCGAGATGGGGGCCATAGTAGCAGGAGCAGCAGCAGCAGCAGTGGTGCCAGCAGTAGCAGTAGCAGTAGCAGTAGCAGCAGCAGCAGCAACAACAGCAGCAGCAGCAGGAGCAGCAGCAGCAAGAGTAGGGCAGTGCGGCTCGGTAGGGGCAGGGCAGCGCGGCTCGGACAGAGCGGCGCGGCTCGGTCAGGGCGGCGCGGCGTGGCGCGGCTCGGGCAGGGCGGCGCAGCGCGGCGCGGCTCGGCAAGGCACAGCGCAGCAGCGCGTGCATCAGCAGCAAAACAGGCGCAGCAGAGCGGTTGGCAGTAGCTGTGCAGCAGCAGCAGCGTATGCAGCAGCAGTAGCAGCGTATGCAGCAGCAGCATCAGCGCGTGCGGGTAGGGGCGCTCCCGGGCAGGCAGCACGCGCGCAGGCAGGGGGCTCGCGCGTTTAGCAGCGCGGGCAGGCAGCGCTCGCGGGCAGGCAGCGCTCGCAGGCAGCCAGCGCGTGCGCAGGCAAGGCAGCGCGCGCGGGCGACAGGCAGCACGCTAGCGGGCAGAAAACGCGTGTGCAGCAGGCAGCACGTTAGGGCAGGCAGCGCGCGTGGCAGCACGCTGTATGGGTAGGGCAAGGCAGCACAAGGGCGCTCGGGGCAGGTTCGAGCGGATCGATTTGGTGGGCCCTAAAAAAAATCTAACTGTGTTCCTGCTCGGAAACCATGTTGAGAGAACTGTGCATGAATGGTGAATGACTAGCAAAAGG